ATCACCCTTTCCTCTTCAAGGGAAAAACCAACGCATGCTCAAGAGGTAGCAGCACCCCCCTTTTGGGTATCCATGGGAACCCTTGCCTGGACCCTTTGGAACGTTCGCAATAAGTTAGTCATCGAGCACGTAATTTCTTGTCGTGTGACTGATGCAATCTACAAAATGTGCGGCTTCTTACAGCTATGGAGACCGCTTAGCAAGTGGCGCGACCGGGATGCCAGTGACCGCCATCATCACGGGTCTTCGCTGCACTGCCGCCATGTTGCCCTCCTCCCCCCCCCACCACCCCGCGAGCCGGATTAGCACCTAGTTTTTTTAGTTCTTTTGGGGCTTGTTGTGTTGTGCCCCAGCTGCATTTTCATGCTACCTTTCTTTCCTTTATTTGGACTTGAACCTGTGATGTTGTTGGATGCTTGGTGTTGTTTCTTTATAATATAAAGCGTGAGGAAATAGGGATGGCACCCGCAGGGTATGGGTATGGGTGGAGCCACCCCATACCCTCACCCGTCCACCCTAAACTTACCTATCACCCATACCCATACCCTTCAAGGGTATAAGTTTTTCTCATACCCTTCACCCGACAAGGTGTATAGGTACGCGCGGGTAAAAATACCCACGTTTACAACACATCAATTGAGTAGAAAATAGTTGTAAAAAGCAACATATAGTCATAAATTAGTAATAGCAACACATTTTAAACAACAATGTACAACATATTCTAACAACAACACATTCTCATAAACAAAAATACTTGCCTATAAAGCGACACATAAAAATGTTAAACAACAACACAATCGTAAATAACAACACATAGGCATACACTTTAAGATCACAAAATTATGATAAATTATAGAGATAATTTTACTACACATTAGAGTTTTACCTAGCACGCGATTAGGAGGGAAACTTAATACATTAAGATATTAAAGGAAACCCACTGATCAACATTTTAGATGGGTACATGGGTACGCGGGCATGGGTTATACTAACCCATACCCGTACCTTCTCTACCCGATGGGTATCATATTTTCCCATTTAAGCACCTATGGGTAAATATTTGTCCCATACCCTTACCCTAATAGGATTTTTACCTGCAGGGTACGCGGGTAATGGATACCCATTGCCATCTCTAGGAGGAAACCCTTTTTCGTAAAACTATTTTGCTCCGGTTGGTGACCATGGGCCCTTGAATGTTGTGAATGGTTTGGTGACTTTTGACTTTATTTATAAAGTCAGGCGTACGCCTTTCTTCTAAAAAATGCATGCATGTACATCTAGAACAGGCAGCTGTACGGTCGAGCCCAAACACATCTTCACCTCGTCCATTTACTACTCCCTCTGTTCGCTGTTATAAAATGTTCTAACGTTTTTTTGAATTGGATGTATATAGACGCGCTTTAGTGTGTTTGTTCATTTATTTTAATCCATATGTAATTTATGTTAAAACACTTCTGTTTCGGTACAACCCCTTAAACACACCAACGGTCCCGACCACTTGGTCTAGAACTTCTCTGGTGGCTAATTTGCAGCGCGGCTTAAAAAATTATCACCACTGTCCAGGATTTCACGTTATTTGAAGACTGCTCTGGAAACACGAGACTTTCTCTATGAGGCGTTGCAACGAGCCGGCATGCAGCGATGAACAGCGACAGATTTAAAGGTTTTTAGGAATTTTGAATGTGACTTTTTTATGAATGTGAAACATATTTGAACGTAACAAATTGGAACATCGTTTGGAATTTTGAATGCGACTTTTTTAAACATGAAACGAATGCAAACAATTTTCTTGAAAAGTGGAACAAATTTTGAAACTCCAAACAATTCTGAAAATTGAGAGAAAAATGAAATTCTGAACAATTTTTCAAAATGCAACGATTTTGAAACTCTTAACTTTGTTGAAAACATGACCATTATTTGAAATATCTGAACCTTTTTGGAAAATATGAACAAATACATACATTGAACTTTGTGGTTTTGAAAAAGAAAAAATAAGAAAGAGATAAAAAATGGATCATGAACCTTCTAAAAGGTATCCAAACCGGTAAAAACCGACCTGGAACCATCTAGAAGGTTCCCAAACCCAGCATGTGCAGAGGTAACAAAAAATTAAAACGGCTTGGGCCATGTTCACTTGTATCAGTCGGGTTTATGAGAAAAAACGACTGTTTGACGCGATAAATGTCAAATAAGGTTTTCTCCCAGCAGGCGCCCAACAGGAGCGATGACGTTGCCTAGTTGGACCAGGGCTTAAGCACTTATATTTTTTTTCGTTTTTCTTTTTCATGGTAATTTATTTTTCCCTTTGAAAACATTATTACTCCTTTCGAAATATGTTCAAACATTTGAAAAAATGTTCTTATTTTCAAATATTCTTTGCAATTTTAAAAAGTGTTCTTGAATTTCAAAAATTGACCATGCTTTTTAAAGTTGTTGTTCACAATTTTAAGAAATGTTTGCATTTTAATATTAGGAAAAACTACATGCTCATGGATGCACCCCAACTCATGTTTATTTTGATATATGAATAAGTGACCCCAACTTCTTATAGCAGCTTGACATGGACATATGAGGCGTCAATGTCAGGTTTGAATGACTTTCGGTAAAGTTTGCATGTTGCGACACATCCAACCATTTATCTATCATTTTTGACCGAGTAAACCCCAAAAAATACAAAACTTGTCAAAATCCAAATAACTGGCCATGATGCCTTGAAGTGGTCATAGAAACTGGGGAAAAAATGGGGTCATTCGGCGGATGTCAAAAAATAACATGCTTCCAAACAGACCCTTCTTGTCTCTACTCGAACACCCTTTGTTGAACATGGTATATTTTTTGACATGCTTGTAATGACCCCAACTTTTACAAGATGGTGGGCATGCCCATCGTAGGCATTCATGTCAAGTTTGAACGATTTGTGACACCATATGCAAGTTGCGACACGTCCGGCCATTTATTGGCCTTTTTTCACCAAGAAAACTATAGAAAATGTAAGACTTGTCAATTTTTTTAAAAAAATGGCATGGTGCCTTGAGTTGGTCATAAAAAGGCATGGAAAAAATTGGGGCCATTACAAGGATGTCTCGAAAGAACATGCGATGAGACGGAGTTTTTTGCTCTATTCGGACACCCTCAGTTGAACATGATCTATTTTTGGACATCTATGAAATGACCACACCTTTTGCAAGTAGGTGGGCATGCTCATGCTTGTTTGGCTAGCGACAAGTGGTCAACAGTGGGAGTTACATTGTTCGATCCCATGCACTGCCATTCTTTTGTCAGCGAGTTTTTTCCTATTTGTGCGCGTGACAATGGGGTGGCTCAGTCAGGTGGCCTTCTGTGCATGGTGCAGTCTATTTGACGTTACTCCCTCAATGTACGAAATTTCCTATTTGCCACATGTTGTGGCAAATAACCGGGCAATCACACACGCAATCGTTGAATGAGCCGGCCCATCTGAGCGTTCGAGCCATAGTATTGTAAATCTTCTAGAAGGTCCCTAGCTTGTTTTGGGAACTATCTAAAAGGTTCCTAAACCAATTTACCGTATTTTTCCAGCTTTAGTTTTGTTTCTATTTTTCGCATTTTTGTTTTTCTGATTTTATGTTTAATTTGGAATTTGCTTATGTGAACATTTAAAAAAATTCTGATTTTTTATTTTTGTTCTCATTTCTTAAGTGTTCGTAATTTCAAAATGTGCTCCAAAATTTCAAAAGATCCTTCTCAATTTCAAATATTTTTCACAGATTTAGAAAAAAAAATCGTGCATTAAAAAAGTTCATGGATTTAATTTTTTCTTCATGTTTTCAATTTTGTTTTGGAATTTCGAAAATGTTTATGTTTTCAAAAATTGTTCACAGAATCTAGAAAGTATTCGTCATTAAAATATTCACAATTTTCAGTGAAGCATTCGAAAATTAAATGTGCCGCTTCTGGATGTTTATAAAATGCGTGCGCTTGTTCTCATATCAAGCAGAGGGCTGGTCGAGTGGCTAGCAGCACTATTACACAATGCGCTGGTCACAAGTTCGAATGCGTATAGGTCCAGATACATACGAAAGTGGGTATAATTTGTGAAATGTCCCTACTGCCCTTTATACGTTTTGTGAGGGGGGGTTATACCGAAGCGGGACTCATATTAAAATACTTAAAACATCTTATAATAGTGATGGAGGGAGTACCTCGTGGATACTACTCTTTCTTGCTTTTTTGTGAAGCTTCCTATGTGGCTAACCTCCAAATAGATCAATATTTACGAGGTTTGTTGTAAGTGATGGCCTAATGGAGTTATACCGAAGCGGGACTCATATTAAAATACTTAAAACATCTTATAATAGTGATGGAGGGAGTACCTCGTGGATACTACTCTTTCTTGCTTTTTTGTGAAGCTTCCTATGTGGCTAACCTCCAAATAGATCAATATTTGCGAGGTTTGTTGTAAGTGATGGCCTAATGGAGTTTTTCACGAGGATTCGTATATGCTCTCCATGCCAAGAGACATCAACTAATATCAACCATCCCAGGGACATAAAGAAAACTGGAAAGTTTGGCAACGTCTGAACTTGGTTCACTGTTATTTCAAGGAGTGTAGCAAGAGTCTTGCTAGGATGGATGACAAGATTTAATGGACACATCACACATGCGAACTCTGTACAGAATGAAGAGGTACTGCCAGCAGTCCCAAGCACCATAGGAAAGACAATGGGAAGCATTGCCACCGAGAACCCTGCCAGCAGCAAACCAACTCTCTGTTAGTTAATGGAATGAAGCAACTTGTTTGTCCCCATTTAACCACAAAGACGACATATCGGGCTTAGATATTTCAGTCGCCCACTTGTTTTGGAATCACATCCTTAGATATTTCAGTCGCTTACTCGAATCACTGGTTCACTACAGCCAACGAAAGCAAGGAGAAGAAGTGACAATAAAAAGCAACAAGGCTAGTCCGTTTCTTAAGCCGGCGCGAAGTGCAGTGCGGGGCTACCCACAAATCACAAGCGATGGCTGAGATGGTCAGTTCTGCCATCGTTGGGGAGGCAGTTAGCCTGATCTTTTCTGGCATTGCCCCCAGCAGCAGAAACGACGACAAATCAGATGAAGAAGCAGCCGGAGGTGGTGGCCTGGAGAGGCTAGAGATGGCGCGCATCAAAATGGAGGCCGCGCTCGAGACGTCCGACAGGTGGCAGATCAGCGACAGGTCGCTGCTCCATTGGCGAAAGAAGCTGAAGCGCGCTGCCCAGGATTGCGACGACGCCGCGCGCAGATGCAGGCGGCTTTCTCGGGAGGAAGAGGAAGCAGAGCTCGCGGTAAGGCAATCCTCGTTTCCTCGACGTGTCGCTCACGCGACCAAGTCGCTCATCTCCTCTCTCGTCGGCGGCGACAGTGATCGCCGCTCGGCGGTTAGCTCCACAACCGTCCGGAGATTCGAGAGGCTCGCAGACGGCGCCGGTGAATTCATGAGATATGTGCAGCTGGGTGGGACGCCACGGCAAAACCTGTTCTTCGACCCTCTCATCGGGCATATCTTCGCGGGCAAAACGGTTATGTATCAGGTGTTGCATCCGGGAGGCAAGTATCACTTCTTCAGCATAAAGCTGGCTGGCTTCGAGGAGCGCGGGCTAGAGGCCATGCTGTCCTTCACGTACGAAGACCGCGAGGCGCCCAAGAACAATTTCGGGCTCCAGGCCATGCTGCGTCTCTCGGAGAGTACGGACGTAATTGGAACCACAGTCAAGTGCTTGCAGTTGATGACGCCTCACTTCAAGGCCATGGCCCGCGTTGCCATCGGAGAGATCACCCATCTCCCCACGCAAGATTTCTCCTGCGTTGCACGCATGGAACACTGGAAAATCTGGAACCATGCTCACAGGACTTTGACTGGATGGTTCCGTCCGGATCCGTTGTGCTGTCAGGGACAGGGGTACGATCACGATCACGACATGGTGCCTTCTTGCCACGGCGACAACGGAAAAGGAAATAAATCGAGCGTATTTCCTGAACCGGTCTTCCAAGTGCTTCTTCGGCGTTACATCTCACTATCTAAGTACCGTGACATGTCGGGATCAACCGCAGTCACTGGTCATGGCGACACGTCTTGTTTGGATAATTGCCCGCGTTTCAAGCTTGGGATTCTGTTCCTGCCTCATGACTCTCTGGAGGACCCAAAGTCTGCCGGTTGTGCTATAGATGTGGTCGATAGAGCGAATCAACACCACCTCACACATGTAAATGTTCAGTCGGACCAGCTCGACAAGATGTTTCTCCCCAAGGCGATCGATTATCTTCGTCGAAACGCCGAGGCCATGATGTACAAGGCATGCTGGAGGTCCAACCATGGCAGTGCGCACCTATGTGCGGAAAAGAGAGGCGCAGAAAGAATTCTCAGAGCATGTGTTGCCACACGACAAGGTAGAAACATCAAGAGTACCGAGGAGCTTCGTCTTCTGCAGCTGGATAAGCAGGTGCAGAGTTGGAAGCATATAGCCGGGGCTTTCCTAAAACTATGGGTTGTGCGTTCCTCCGAGAGGCTGCGGAGCTCCTTTACCGTTTGGTTCAATGAGTTAGGACAAAGCTTGTGACCACTGACAGTTTCCCCATGGGTTCTCTTTGAAATCATTTGTGCCAGGACGAGCAGGGTTATTTGTTGAGTACTTTAATGATCTAAACGCTCTTATATCTCTTTACAAAGGAAGCATCTCTTATGTGCATATATTGTGTTTGTGTTTGGGTCACATTGTTGCGCCCGTCAATATTTATGGGAAAATGTTGAACGCATGAACCGGTGTGTTTATAGTCTATAACTTCATTCACACTGAACAATGTTTTTTTCTTTTCAATTTTGTCACTTTTTGCCCAGAATTTCATGAGTGTTATTTCTTCGTGAAACTTCATACGCGAGTATACCGGTCGACTATGTATGTTACAAAAGAAATTCAGTTTTTATTTTTATTTTTCTAGGTGAATATTGTTCCATGCACACCCACATGAATAGTAAATTCAAAAACAAATATTAGGAAATTTCAAACAATCTGAAATTAGGGGATATCAAATGTGTTTGACTATTCTACCCACGTGTGAGATCTCGTGAAGTAATGGCATCCGTGGTATGCTTAGTGAAGAAAATACAATCGGCACCTTACCATTCACTAAATAGTGTCTTTTAATATAGCTTTGATTTTGTCATTTTTGCCCAGAATACCATAGATATCATTTCTTCGTGAAACTTCGTACGCGAGTATACCCGTCGACTATGTATGTTACAAAAAGAACATCTGACTTTTTTTCTAGTTTTTTTTTCTGAATTTACTATTATGAAGAGGTGCAACAGGAACCCATGGTCACCAAATCCCTACTTGTAAGAGTATATATTGTATTATATGTACTAAAAGCATAACATAGAGGAAAATAGAGAGGTATGCAAGACACTCTCATAAAAAAAAGCAAAGCATCGGGCTCTTGATCCATTGGACTCACAATAATTAAATAGAAAACAACCATTAGATCTTCGTAACCATTTCTAATGAGTTTGCAATCGTTAGATTATATAAGCGTACTAAATATATCATAACCGCTAAATCTTTAGAACCGTAAGCATCTGTATCTAAACACATCGCCACCACACTAGTAGAGAAATGCTTATAAGCAATCTACATTAGTGGCGCGCCAGCAAAGAGCCACCACTAGTATTTGCCAAAGTATCAGTGGCATGGCAAAATGAACCAACGACACCAATAACCTATTACCTCTAGTGTGACCATATATGCCGCGTCATCAATGTGTGGGACCCAGTGACCTTGCACGTGTAAGTTATTGGTGGCGTGGTCCCCAAGACACATCATTAGTACGGTCGGGGTTACAAATATGGGGTAGACCAAGTATATGAATGGCCCAGTAGAGAGCCATAACCCATCAAATATACGACCTAAAAGATCATGGGCCATGAGACATCACCTTTGACCCATAGGAGTTGGAGCCCAAGATAAAAAGAACAAGAGGGGTGGCTCGTGATCAGGCTAAGTCCTTACAGTCAGATCCTACACCCCCTGACGGACGAGACCCTACAGTCAGTCACCAGGAAGACAGGGGCAGTTGGTTATCCTACAGTCGGCTGCTACCTAAGATACCCATCACCTACGGTGTATCAATGGCTTCAGTTACCCAGCGATGGCATAATCTAGTTAAATATGACCGTTACTAGCAGTAATAGCCAGAGAATAGTCGGCCATGCAAGAGGCCATGAATAGCATTAATACCAGCCCATCATGGCCCCCCCTCCTAACACACTCTATATAAGTCGCGAGAGGGGAACCGGGAGATGGTAGATCATACACACATTGTACCTTAAGCCAAGATGTAAAAGCACCAGAGGAGTAGGGTATTACCTCCACCAAAGAGGGCCCGAACCTGTATAAATCCTTGCGAGTAGTCCATGTACACTGTTCGTTAGATACGATTGCCACTACATACATACCCCATAGTATTATCGGGATTATATATATCCACGACAGTTGGAGCCCACGGTGGAGCAAGCGTCTATTGACATCATTGTGCACGTGGCTTCATCTTTGGTTCCGACTGGCAGCATCCACTTTGGTGAGCTCAAGTTCGCCACCTTGAGTCCTCCCTCCCCGTCTCGCATGGGGCAACATGCAAGATGGCTCTCTTGGGCGAGCCCGAGGCCGTCCAATGATGATGGCCCTGGTCGTGCACTTGCGGTCCACCCGTCATGGATCATGGAAGCGGGTTGCCTAGGCGCGCGCCGTCTGGACAGATCGAACCATGCATAAAGCACTCAAGGGGCCCCCGCGGCACGTGACCGCGCAATGAACAGCTCGGAGGCACTCATCGCCCTTGAAGAGCACTAGGAGGAAGTTACTCCAGCATTCTTGATAAGATTAATGACCCATCACCCGTGCAACAATCTTTCATATGTGATAGCAAAAATCTCTCGCTTGCCTCCCTGAACCAGCTACACTTCTTTCTTCAGGGGCTTACGGACGGCGAATCTCACCCCAACTATGAAAGAAACCCCTTCCAAGTCGAAGGACGCAGGCTCGGAAGCCACATATTCCCCTACCTTGGATGCCAAAGACCTGGTCATGCCATGGTAGCCATATGGTAAATCATGGATCTCGCCCAAATATAAAACTTGAATAGTTCGACCGGTTAGGGTTTAATAAACTCGTCACACGGAGCAATCAACACTGGATTTCCCCTGAAGTGCCAAGGGCCACCATGGGTAATAGTCTCCCAATCACCGAGGCATCTGAATTGCATCACGAACAAGTTGGGATTGAGGATGTGGATCTTGATAGACTATGCTAGGTCCTAGGCGGTCCTCATATTCTTGAAGAACCAGAAGGTGTTGAACTCCTTGTCCATGTACACTCAAACAATTACCGTCCATCGCATGTCTTCCTCTGTTGGGGGTTGCTCCTCCTCTAAGATAACATCGTCGAGGTCTTCCTCATTGAGATCCAAATCATGCATCATTGCTTTCAACTTGTCTTTCTCTGAAGTCCCCGACAAGGAACACTTCTCCCCAAACACCATGCTGATGGACAGTACTGCTCCAATCTAGAAAAGATCCCTCGGAGAAAGTCCTCACCTGCCAGTGGCCAGGCACCGTTCGCCGAGACCGGGAAGTGGTACTAGACCACCCCTTTATCAGCCTGAATGGGATGGTGCAAGGGATTGTCGAAGTGGGAGAAGATAGTGGCTCAACATTGTCTTGTCGGCGAGAGAAACCCTAGCCGTAACAAGAGGGGACTCTGATGTTTTAGGAAAGTTGGTTTTATCTCCAACAAGTAGTTGATTGTCCTCAAAAATATCAAATGGTGTTGCAAAAAAATAATTGAGGGGTTCCAATGTTTTTTAAGCAAAATGAGTGGTTGCTATATGGTTTTCATCAAAATTACTAATTAATGGGTACCCTTGCAAAGATCACTCCCACTTTCTCACCCGCTAATAAATGGCACGCTGCATGTGTGCCACTTGTCTCAACCTAGCGGTTTTTTCTTTTTTTTTTAGATTCATTTATTCAAAATGTTTATCTTTTGAATTGTGTATCCAAATCTCGAACCATTTTCATTGTTGGATTTCTCGCGTCGAGATCTTCAATACTAGATCTCATGTTCGCCAAACTTTTTATTCACGAAAAAACCAGAGCCAAAAGCATGTTTTTTTTTCCTTTATTCCCTTTCTGAGAGGCATATCCGTACCTCCCGCAGAAGTAAATACGTCCTCCACGAGAAGCAAATATGTGCCTCTCGTGGAAGCAAAAGAAATGCATTTCTTCTTCTTTCTGAGAGACACGGTTGAGCTTCTCGGGGAAGTAATTCAGTGCCTCTACGAGAAGCAAATATGTTCCTCTTGTGGAAGCAAAAAAACATTTCCCCCCTTTCTTGAGAGCCATAGTTGTGCTTCTCGCGGAAGCAACTCCATGCCACAACAAGAAGCAAATATGTACCTCTCATGAAATAAGAAAAACACGTTTTTTTTCTAAGAGGCGCAGTTGTGCTTCTCGCAGAAGTAAATCTGTGCCTCTCGTGGTAGGGAAAAAATGTGTTTTTTCTTTCCGAGAGGCAAGCTATGCTTCTCGTGGAAGCAAATTTGTGCCTCCACGAGAATTAAACATGCACTTCTAAGGGAGCGCCCAACAAGCAATGCGTGGAGGCGGCGGGACGCACCACTTGGCACGCTATAAGCCCACAAAAATGACACTTGCAGGGCTCCCTCAAGGGCGTTGATATGTCTAGCCTACAACGAGATGAGAGGAAGTCTCGCTGAAGGCGAGCTCCATATTGGGCGGGCACATCGTGCCGCTGACCATAGGCCACATGCCATATTCTCGTATTTTACGTTTTTGTTCTCTTTTACTTTATTTATATTTCCAGATATTCTATATTACAAAAAAATACTTTACATAAAACATTTCAAAAATGTTAATCAGGCAATCAAAAATGATAAATATGTAAAAAACATTTTTTATCATGTATACAAAAAATATACAACGTGAAATGCGTATGGAAAAAATGTTGACCATGTATTTTTCAAAAATGTTGAAAAAGTATTCAAGAAATGTTAAACTTTTATTTTCAAAATGTTAAATTTGTGTATATAAAATGTTTACATGTATTAAAAATGTTAAACATGTATTTCAAAAATGTTAAATGTGCATAGAAATATTTTTGACCATGTATTCAAACAATGTTAAACTTGTATTTGAAAAATGTTAATCTAGCATTTGAAAAACAAATGTGAAATGTGTATAGTAAAATACTTAACCATATATTCAAAAAATAATAATTTGCTACTGGAAAAGGTTAATCAAGCTTTGAAAAAAAATTAAAATGTGCGTAGAAAAATGTTGAGCTTGTATTCAATAAATGTTAATCTTGTATTTAAATTTTTTAAATTATATATTAAAAATGTATTAAATATATACCAAAGAAAAGAAAGTCAATGAAAATGAGAAAGGAAGCAAAAAAATAGAGGAAAAATGAAGAAAAGAGAAATAAAAGAAACAAAACTAGTGAAAGCCGAGAAAGAAACAAAGAAAAACAAAGAAAATAAAGAAAAACAAAAAAAACCAATGAAACCGAGAAAGAAAGAAAGATAACAAATATAAAATGAAAAACAGTATAAACATAAAAAGAAACAAAGAAAAACTGATGGAAAAAAGGGGGAAAAACAAAACCTAGAAAACCCACTAGAAAACTGCCTCATTTCCTTTAAGTATGTCACACCCTAGTTACAAAACATGAACTTGCCAGGTGGCATGGCGGCTAGCGTGTTAGGTAGTATGCAGTCGATCCTGGGATAGATACCCGCTCTTTCCCTTTTTTCTACTTTTAAGTATGCTATAGTCGGATGGGCCGAGTACTGTAGACGTTCAGCAAGAGATCCTTCCCTCTCGCTTTATGCGAGATATACTTTTAACTATGCTATAATGGGCCGGCCCAAATACTGTAGACATTCAGCTCCGCGCGCTCCCGCAAGCCCCTTAATTATTTGCTATGTGTGCCAAAGACAGCACAAACCGGCTTGGTATCATGGGATGTCATGACCAGGCCGAAGTCTTTGGGTGGATTGGGATTCAGAGATCTTGAGCTATTCAACTTGTCTTTGCTAGCAAGGCAAGCATGGTGGGTGTTGCAGGAGCCAGCAACATTGAGTGCTAGAATCCTAAAGGCTTCTTATTTCCCGGACAACACAATCCTTGAAGCCGAGTTGGGATCTCGCCCATCCCAAATATGGCGAGCAATACTAGATGGCAGGGAGGTGCTAAAATAGGGAATCATTTGTCGCATTGGGGGCGGCCAAACAACGGACATTTGGGAAGATAATTGGATCCCTAAGGAGACGGCGTCGAGGCCGATTACTTCACTGGTCCCGGACCCGCCCAGGATGGTTTCAGAGCTGCTATCTTTAGCGACGGCGTCATGGAACGAAGGACCGGTCCGATCAGTGTTTCTCCCCATTGGTGCTAATGCACTTTTGAACATACCTCTGTGTACTCGTAACATGGAAGACTTTTGGGCATGGTACCTGGACAAAAAAGGGAGGTTACAGTAGGCTCAACCTATAAGTTCTTGCTCGGAACTAAATTGTAGATGGAAGATTAGCTAGAAGGAAGAAGTGGAACTTCAGCAAGTTCGAGGGGGGAGAAAGACTGGACCCAACTATGGAAGTTGTTGGTGCCATCCAAACTCAAAGTCTTTTTGTGGAGGCTGGCTCGACACTCGATTCCTACAACCGATGTCTTACACAATCGGAATATGGCATCTGAGAGTGCATGCCCACTGTGTGGATGTCAAGACTCATGGAGACATCCTCTACTGTCATGCACGATGTCTAGGTGCATTTGGGATCTATCCGAGGAACCTCTAGTTTCTGAAATGGCAGTAAACACAGAGACGGACACGAAAATCTAGATGTTTGAGCTGCATGAGGAACTAGAACAAGCAAGTTTTACAAGGATGGTGGTGACTTTGTGGGCAATTTGGCATGCGAGGCGCAAAGCAATATATGAAGGCATCTTTCGAAACCCACATCATATTGCTTCCTTTGTTAACTCATAATTAAGTGAGCTCGAGCAACTTACTCCAAGGGCAGAGCATGTGACCGCCCCAGCTGCCCCTTACAGCAACAACGTTGGCTGCCTCCACCGCTCGGTCTCCTAAAGATCAACGTGGATGGTGCTTTGGCAAGGAACATACATGGGGGGCAGTTGTGGCACTTTGCCGGGATGAAAATGGCACCTATTTGGGCTTGTTTGCAGGGACCTTCCGAGGTACGCACGATCCAATGATGCTCGAAACTTTTGCATGCAGGGAAGCTCTTGCCCTAGCGGATGATCTTGATATCCAGCATATGGTAGTAGCATCTGATTGCCAAGGAGTGGTAAAAGACATCAACGAGGGGACAGGAGGTCCTAATGCGGCTATCATCCAAGAAATTGTAGCACGTAGATCATTTTATATGTCTTGCTCTTTTATTCATGAGCGTAGGAACTTTAATTTTGAGGCTCATAATCTCATCAAATTTGCTTGTAATTGTAGCACCTATGAACATTGTTACCAATCAATAAAGTGGGCGAGATTTCTCAAAAAAAAAGGGTCATTCGCTCTTTGTTTCTTTTAGGCAAATTTGCCCTGTGTTTGCACTTGAGGCGACATTGCCCCCGTTTAGCCCATCCAACGGTAAAGCCCATCAACAGCCCACGTGTGGTTGTTCCCTGATTTTGCGGTGGGACAAAATATAATGGCTGTTCCCAAACCGGACCTGTTTCTTTTTGTTGCCAATTTCCTCAAGGCTGTCTCCTCCTCTCTTCCCCTTCCTCTCCCGAGCGTCCTGACCTACATCTCTACCGCCGGCCGTACCTCCGACTCACCGCCGACGCCTCGATCATCCCCCCTCCCAACCCCCGCCGCCATCGCCGTTCCTGTCCCTGCTCGTCGCGTCCCTGCTGCCTCGACCCCGTCCGCGATTTTGGGCATTGGGGGGGTTTTCAGGTACGATCTTGTTTTCGTCTGGTGATTCCTTGAAACCCCACCTGACTTCCACAATTTGTGGGTACACCTGCTCACACCAGGCACACCATCTAGATCCGCCTCTGGTCGAGTCTCTGAAAATTTTGATTGCGAATTTTTCGTGACGGTAGCTTTCTAGTATATTTGTTCGTCGTGGGGAACAATGGGGCATTGCATGCCATCCTTGCCTGTTTTGATACAAAAAATTGGCGTCGAACCGTTGTGTTCATCTTCGCTGGAACAGATTATGCTTGTACCAAATAACTCTGATGCCCAGCTACTCAAATTGTATGTGCTCCCTACATCCATTTATATAGGGCCGAATTTGCAAATCTCCGCCAAGGCACTCTAGGATAGCTGGAGAAAATTTAGGGATTTGTCCGTTATCAAAGTGTCCATTAAATATCGCTGGCCCAATTCGCAAATCTCCAATACCAATGCACTCTAGAAAAGCTGGAGAAAATTTAGGGATTTGTCAGTCATCACTAATGGCGCTAATCCCTTCACGGACTTTTCTTGCTTGTGCTAACCACAAGGTAGATGCCCAGTTCTCTAAAGGATATGCTTAAAATTTTGTCATTGCCTTCTTCTTTATCAACCTTCCAAGATATGTTGTTTATGTGGTTTATTTTCTGTGTTGCTTTCTGGATTGCATGATGTTGTGTCAATTAACTCCTCATAACTGTTGAACTTGCAAATCAATTAGTACGTATTAATTAGTAGTCACATATCGCCATTTTCCAATGGTTGAGCTAACGCAATCTGGAACTGATGCTGATAATTATGATAAACATTTTCAGGAAGTAATTTGAACTGCCTTTCCTTTTTTTCTTACTCAAACAGCAGTCTTTGCTACTCCCTCCGTCTAGGTGAGTAAGTCATCTTAGGTTGTGCACCGTGACCAAGGAGGAGGGGAAAACGAGAGAACTTAATGTTCATTTGCTAATTAATAGCATTGCATGCAATGAACTAACCACTGCATGTCGTGTTTGGTAGTCTCAAGTCATTAAAAGCATGCACACCCCACATCTCTTATTGGTTGATATGTCAAGAAACAAGAAACGATGTAGAATTTAATGCACCGCGCCTAAGTGTTTTGGGATTATTTGATTTTCGTAAGATGACTTACATACCTAGACGGAGGGAGTAAAGAAAATGCTTGGGCTTGCCTTTTTTGTTTGGATATGTTTGTTTCAGAATCCATCCCGGAGTTGTTCTTTATAGTTCAGCTGAGAGGGAGAGCTCGAACAGCGAGCCAAAATATTTTAGTCATGAAACGAGGGGGCTAGTTTCGAATTATTGACTGGACTCTAGATAATAAAACAAGTTAATGAGTTATGTTACTGAAAAAGGGAGATTACAGCCCTCATTGACCTCAGAAGAGCTTCACCTCTGCCTTTTTGTTTTGCCTGTCATCGGATACTACAACACAAGCCTTTTGCTTGATAGAATTGTGTACTTATGCTGAAATTTTGTTCTGATAGTTGGCTCTTCTGTTGCAGTAATTTCAGCTCTACCATAATCATGAGTCTAGCTTGTCTCGTATGCCATGGCATGAGCAGCCCTTCACAGTCTTTCAGAAGCTATTCAGTCTCAAGCTCAGAGGAGGAAAACAGGTGTGGAGCTGCTGTTGCCTGCCTATCGCGGAAAATTTTGGCTGCAGGACCTGCTAGCCGTGTGGGAACATCAAAGGTGACACCTGTAATGGCCACTGGACAAGGCATCGAGGGTGCTCCTCGTCTTCAACGGAGCCGTGCTGTTTCAAGGGATCTTGTCAGGGACTGGAACTTCGACGAGATCGTTATTGGGAACTAGAGTAGTAGGGTGCCAGCAGTTATCCCCAGGCTGGACATTGGACTATTATCTGGCAGGAGTTGATGTACATTTTCTAGTATACATCTGGATATCTATGTACTATATTAGTATGCGCTCAATCAAAGAGCAAATTATTCAAGAGTACTGGTTACTACCTATAGAGACCGCTCCTGGCTTGTTATATAATTTGCCAATTTGTGTAGTAAGCATCCATCTTTCTGTTGCCGCCCTGAATGATAAATCGAATCTAATTTTCCTGAGATGTCAACTGGTCCTATCAAGTCTAGATATTTTCGCAGGCTATGGATGGTGGTGCATTCTTTTGATGTATTGATGTGAGTGTCCATCAATGAGGGCCATGAGAAATGCAGCTGTTTGGTTTCGTTTTATTTTATTATGTATTTTTATTATTTTATTTGGTTGGCTGTATGAGCTCTATTTGTTTGCCTTGATGTGGTTACTTGACCTGCTAAAATATTCTGCGAGGATCAATTGATATGCTGATGCAATCCTGATGCTATTTTCCCTGAAAATGTGATCTATTTTAACAGATTGCTCCAACTGAAATTAATTTGTCCAGGAGATAAATTTCGGAATAGGTGAAGTTTCCAGTAAGATCAAAAGATAAGCAATACTCAATCTTGGCTTTTGCTAAGCTGGGATTGCATTCAATGTTTTTATTTTGTTGTTCTTCCACCCTGATATGACAAGATATTGATTGCGAGGCGCCAACACAGATAAAGAAAATAATATATATTTAACAATTGTGACTTTCAAATCTATATGTAAGATCATTATTGATGACCACAAACTAAAAGTACACTTAAGAAAGAGGCATGGACCAAAATGGCTCCCTGAATAGAGGAAGAACTGAGATGATCATACATATAACATTCATACATAACGATCGACACCATCATGGTTGTCTACGGTGACGATCTCCATCAGCTGTCTCCACTAAGCTGCCCAAAGCTGCAGGAACCCGGTCCCGAAGGCAGGAAGGAGAAGGGGTTCTCGGAGATGTCGAATCCAGGGCGGGCGAAGTCATCGAGGGCGCCGAAGCACGGGTCGAAGTTCAAGGGCGAGAAATAACCACGTGTGTCATCGGCAACTTTCATGTCTAGATTCGGAATACCATCAGACGTGCTGCCTGGGAAGTTATACCCTGTGCTCCCCACCATGTCGTCCATCGCCTCGCTCCCCTGAGGCTGCTCCGATGCTCCTGTTGCTTTAATATCATCCATTGGAAGAGCAGGTGTGTGCCCTTGGAAAAGCGCGACATGGCCGAACAGCTTGTCCTTTCTTGAGAAAGTTGTTCCACATGAGCAGAGCCACTTGTCACGCCCGCAGTGCTTCTCATGAGTCTTCAAGTCCGCAATGACTGAGAACTTCTTGGTATTGCATCGGCTGCAGGTATACCTCTTGTCACAGTGGCTTCTCTTGTAGTGGTTCTTCACACACAAGATTGTCTTGAGGGGCTGGAACTTCCTGTGCTCTTTGTTCCGCTTGCAACCGACATATGGGCACGAGTACCTTGTAACTGGTGTAGGATCTGAGCCAGAATCTCTCATGGGTTTGGCAAGAGCTGCGGGAGTCTTGTACTCGTCTCCATGGCCCCTCATGTGCATCCTTAGGTTAGCATCCCTCTTGAAACCCTTCCCACATATCACACAGAAATGAGTATGTGGTGCTAAAATTTCCTCCTTCTCCAACTGCAAGACCACATAAGAACCAGGGGGGAGGTGCTCTGCCTCACCACCATCATCGCTCTCCTTCACGTCATGGTCTTCCATCGGAACCGGCTCAGGCCCTTCCCCGACACAAGGATTTGGGCATTTGATCAGATCATCCTTTTCATCATGCGCTGTGTTAAGGGTATTCATCAGCTCCTCATAATCAGAGGTCTTGCTAATGTCAGGAACCATCTCCTCCCTGACTGTGCTTGGCCGCTGATTCACAATCGAGCCAAAGCCCATGGGAGAACCAGGCGTGTTGAGTTGCCTGACCGCTGGATTGCTGCTAAGGAGCGGGGTCTTCATGGAAGGAAGCATGGAGCCGGCAGTCGAGATGAGCTGAATTATGATGGAAGTGAGATCAGCGGTGACGAGCTGCTGCTTTGCGGCAAGCTCGCAGGAACCACCAACATCTTGGCTCCCTCGGTTACCCATGGACTGCACGATATCTTTCACCTGCTTGATCTTCTGCTCAAGGAAGGTTAGGTTGCTCAGCATGGCCTGAGGATCCCAGTCTGCCACAGGATTGCTCTGTGGAGGATTCGGTTCAAACGGATCACACGCTTTAGCCACACTGTCATCAGGAAGGTAAAAGTTGGAAGATTGAGGGCCAAAGAATGGGGGGTAGCCAGGGATTGACTGGCCAGGTCTTGCAAAGCAAGACTGGTCCATGGAACTGAAACGAACGCCCTGTTGGCCAGGTTCAGTGTTCCCTGACGCGTCGCTTGCCATCGACGACGAAGCTTTCATGGAAATTTCTGAACTTTTTCTCATGCAACTTTCAGTCTAGATCCACCAGAGCTCAGATTACAATCCAGTCCGCCCTCTCTTCTATCTCACACGATCCTCCCCAAATGAGAAATTGACAATAAGACAGGAATAGCATCAAACCCTGCGGGTAAAAAATAAATCATAAGAACAAGAAATTGAACACGGCAGCAGCAACCAAACTAGACGTATGGAACTAATCCGTAGGCATAGACAGATCTGTAAGCAGGGGACTAAGATCTAGATGGCCTGCCGGGTTTAGCTAATCACCGGATGAAAACAAAGCTCATACATACCTCAATGGCCAATGATTGCCGGACGGAGTGGAAACGGCGGGGACCCGGTGAGGAAGAACAGGGACGGCGGTGGCCGGCCGGCCGACGCGCGTGGGAGGTGGAGGGGTTGGGGTGGTCGGCGGCGAGGCTGAGCTACGGCGCGGCGGCAGCGTTGGAATCAGGGGAGAAAGAGGAAAGAATGGTACGGGAAAGCGGGGATAAAGTCTATAGCGTGGTGGAGGAGCTGGAGTTTGACTCTGGAATTTTAGAAGGAGAGAAGATATTTTTTTATTCCTTTTATTACTAGTAAAAATAAATGAAATTTTTTGGAAATATACAGAGTCTGCAATTAATATGTTTTTTAAATAAAACATGTATATAGAATGTTCTATATTTTTAAATTATGGCACAAACTGTAGGATCCCCGCGTGCATGAGTTGTATGCAACAATTTAGGAGGTAAAACAATCAAGCTTGTGATGTACCCACTTGAAAAAGAGTGAATTGCTACGGTCATGTATACTGGTGGCAACAACATATGGCTGCCTCGTCACTCCACATAGATAAAAAAATATTGAAATGGTTCTTCGAGCCTAACTACACCCAGTACATGACGCAAGTTCTTTCCTTTTTATGCTTTCCTCTTTCTTTGGGGGTGGCGGCGATTTTTGACGATCGCTACCATTTTGTTTGTGATTTTATTTGACTATTGTTAGGTTTGAAAATTGTAATACGAAACCAAATAAAGTTGCTCATGAGCTTGCTAAGTTGCCTAGATTGCTTGAGAAATCTCCAATTGAAATTGCACCCATCCTCATTGAGGGCGTAACTATTATTTTTGAAGAATAAAATTTGGCATGTTTTGTTTAAAAAAACACTTTCCTCTTTCGTCTTCCATCTGGTTCCAGCAAAATTACAACATGTGGATAGCCACCATGGATTTGTGGAATGATGCTTCGTCCCATACTCTTTCCTAACAATCGAACCCTTAATCGTAAAAAATCTCCATTTGTTCGGTTGGGAGAAGAGAGAAGAGAGAGGGGGGCCATGCATGCGGTGTGTGTGGGGGGAGGGGGGGGGAGAGATAAGAGAGCGAGAGGGAGAAAAGAGAGGCTGACCACACGATTGCTTTTTTTGGTCAAGTGGATGTGTGAACTCCCGCATAGCTCCCCCAAGTTGTTTCCCGTTTGGGGAAAACGGACGCCCGGACCGTTCTGCTGACTGATAGGGGTCCCCATTGGATGACAAAAATTGGCATATACTGAGCTTTGAGGGTCTCCTTTGGAGATGCCCTTACTAGTGTCTTATCACTCAATATCTATCCGGAAAACCTTCATGAATCCACCCCTTTGTACCCACCATCTCCCGCTTATTTTTGAGATCAATTCATGACACCATGAGCTCGTCGTACATGGAGTGAAGCGGGAACTCCCGAGGGCGCGGGAAGGGATGTCTGGTCTTTGGCAAGCTCCTAGTGGGATGACTCGAGCTTGACTTGCATCGATGAGACGATGACATGACCAACAATGGCTTCACCTCTCATTTGCGGGCTAAGGAGGCACACCTGCTGTTAGGGCATGTCTCTCTCTAAGTAGTTTTGGTGATTGATGACAATGCTTTTGCGGACTAATCGTGTGCATTGAGTTTTTTAGAGATTCATTCATTGGCACGAGACGATTCTTTCCCCTCGGAGCTTTAAGTGAAGACGGTGTAGTCTCTTTCGTTTCGGTTTTGGTGGACTTGAGTCGTAGGAGACACTGTTCTATCAAGAGGGGGTCCGCATTGGAAAGGCTAGGGTGGAATCAACACGTACACTTCCTTTTTGCACCCCTAGCTCCTTTCCTCTCCTTGGAGTTTGTCGTTTCCACGAAAGTAGGGATTGTGAGGAGATAGCGGTAGTACCGCCGCCAGCGCGGTAGTACCGCCCATGGTCCTCAAGCGGCAGTACAGTTGTCCCACAACGGTAGTATCGCTTGTGTGCATCGGCGGCAATACCGTCTTGGTTCGGCGCCACTACCGTCTCGATTCAAGGATGTCTTTTCTCGTGTCGGGTTGTGGGGCAGTAGTAGCAGCAGTAGCAACGGTAGTACCGCCCGTGAGCGGTAGTACCACGCTACTAGTGCCGCCCAAACCCTCCTCTCTATCGTTCTCCCTCTTATGCCTCTACTCTCAGTCTCCACGGTAGTACCACTGGTGGTCGTGGTAGTACCGCTGCTACCAGCAGT